TTTTTATGTTGAGCTTCAAGCCCACATTTGCGTTCTCCTCTTTTACCCTGAGCAAGAGGCTCTTTAGGTCCTCTTCACTTTCTGCCATTAGAGTGGTATCGTCTGCATATCTGAGGTTGTTGATCGTTTCCCCAGCAATCTTAATTCCCGCTTGTGATTCATCCAGGCCAGCATTTCGCATGATGTACTCTGCATATATATTAAATAAGCAAGGTGACAATATACATCCTTGTCGTACTCTGTTTCCTATGCTAAACCAATCAGTTGTTCCATATCCAGTTCTAACTGTCGCTTCTTGACCTTTATACAGGTTTCTCAAGAGACATGTGAGGTGGTCTGGTACAAGGCCATCTCTTTAAGGACCTGCCATAGTTTGTTGTGATCCACACAGTCAAAGGCTTTAGCATAGTCAATGAAGCAGAAGTAGATGTTTTTTCTGGTACTCTCTTGCTTTCTCCATAATCCAGCGAATGTTGGCAATTTGATCTCTAGTTCCTCTACCTCTTCGAAACCCAGCTTGTACTTCTGGCCGTTCTCTATCCACGTACTGTTGAAGCCTATCTTGTAGAATCTTGAGCACAGGAATAAACAGCTTTAAAAGGGGGATTAGATAGATTCATGGAAGATAAGTCTATCAATGACTACTAGCCATGGCAACTGAGGAGAACCTCCACATTCAGAAACACTAATCCTCTGAATCCCAGATCCAGGAGGCAAAGGCCTCAGCCTCTATGCCCGGTTGTTGGCTGTCCAGAGGAACAGATTGGCCACTGTGTGAGAAAGGATGCTGGACTAGATGGAATACTGGTCTTATCCAGCAGGACACTTCTTATGTCCTTAAAGCTAGAATCTTGATACACTACATTTCTATTTGCGGGGGGGGGGGCGGTTGTGCAAGTACACTGCAGCTGGCAACCCCTTCCCCCTTATGGACTCTAGGAAAACAATTCTGCTTTAAAAACTGCCTGTTAAAACAGAGTTTTTGTAGCTCAATACATTCAACAATTTTTTAGCACAACCACAAAAGGTAGAAACTTAATTTTGTATTTAACACCGAAGCTGGGATCATTGTGACTCTAGGTCAGTAATCATTCCTGAAAAAATACTTGCAGGTACTGGGAGTGGGGTGACGAAAGGCAGTCCTCAGAATTGCCCTGACTATAGCTCACCGTCAAAATAGTATAGGTTATTTGGCAAACAATGGCCCCGGTCACACGGGCCAGTTAATGCGGGAGGGAGATGTGGCTGTTTGCCCCGGAGGAAAATAAAGCGCGGTGGCCCGATCAGATGGTCCCCTGAGTCTTCACACTTAGGCTGTTAGCTGGCGATCACATGGCGATGCTGAAGCGTGGCAAAGAAGCGGCATGGCAAGCGTTTCACATTTGTGCGCATGCGCAGTTCCGTGGAGCAGCACTGATTTCAGTTACGTGTTTGTGCGCATGCACTTACGAAAAACATCTGGTTTGCGATTGGACCTGGATGGGCACTGGATGCCACGGGATACTAGCACTCCCACAATCAGACGCCCGCCCCAGCCCTGCGTTTTCCGGATACTAGTGCACTTTCCGTGGTACTTTTTAACCGTGCATCTTTTACGGGACGCCATGGGTGCGCTATGCTTCCCAGATGTTGTGGTGTGATCACGTCCTGAAAATCTGCCTGACATTCATGCTTTTAGCACGGCAAATCCTCCGTGTGAACGGGGCCAATAACTGGATGATTACCACTGACTAGGCTTCTTTCATGGGGTGCATGGGACAAGGGGAAACCCCCCCACATTAACTTCTGAGGTGAGTGTTGCTTTTCCTGGATTACCATTTTTTCCTCCCCAGGTGATACACAGGACAGGTCTCTCCAGTACAGGCATCAACGCATCACCACATGACAAACACACAAAGAGGTTTTTCAGGATTTGTCCCTCTTCGCCCCACATAGATTCACTGACTGCTGCAGAAATGTCTCCATTGTGCCAATGGGGGAGGCAGGCTGGCTCCGGGTAGCCACCACTTTAAGACAAGAGCTGCCCTTCTACCTTCCCTTTTGGACTGCCAGCTTTTTAAAGTGAGAAAAGGGAGAACTGGGATGTATTGGCTGGCTAAAGAGAAAACCAGAGAGATCTGTCTCTGAGTGGGCCAAGCAGCAATGGGGTATTAGAGGTCAAGCAACAACAGGGCAATTAATCTTGGGGAAGATCTACTTGGGAAAATGAACCTGAGAGGGAGAAGCTGGGTGGAATTTGAATGTTTTGTGGATAAATTAATGGCAGGGGAATTGGCGGGGGGGGGGGTGATGTCTGGGTTTCAGACCCTTCCCTCTCGCAGTGAATTTGTGTTCTACGGCTCCAGAGCATCTCACAAGTTCATCTGTTTGCATCTGGTCAAATGACTGGTACCCTGCAGCAGGAAATGTAGGACAGGTCTGATGCTTTGGGGGTCCATTTAGCAATAGGTTGCAAACACTGCAGTCAAATGCATCTGGAAAGCCCACTAGGAAGTCAACTCAACAGTATTCCCCCACGCACTGTTTGACTCCAGTATTAAGAGGAATACCACCTCTAACTTGGACAGGTCTGATGCTTTGGGGGTCCATTTAGCAATAGGTTGCAAACACTGCAGTCAAATGCCTCTGGAAAGCCCACTAGGAAGTCAACAGTATCCCCCCACCCACTGTTTGACTTCGGTATTAAGAGGAATACCACCTCTAACTGTGGAGGTTCCACTTAATTACCAGGATTGTTTGGGGGGGGGCTTCCATTAACAATGTGTGAGCAAAGCAGGCTGAGGAGCTTTGGATGGTGGACCAACAGGAAGCCATGACAGGATTGGTGTGGAAGGAGAGCACATGGAGTACCCCACATTTGGGGGGCACCAGATGTCACTGGCTGCCGTGCAAAGCCAACTGACTCTTTCAGTGAAGACTGCCTGCTGCAACAGCAGAGGTTTCTTGAAGAAGAGTACTTTTGATTTACCACAATGCAAGCTACCCTGTTATACTGTCACTGATGACTCCTCTGTTAATGGTAGATATCTCAGTGGGCCATCTAAATTGACCATTAGGATCAAGGCACAGAAAGCACTGCCACTTTGCTAAATACACTGCAATACACCAGCCTTTGGCTACATGATTTTGTACTCTTATCTGGTAGAGAGGTATTTGCTCCCTTATTGAGAGCCATTTTTACAAGTGACAATCTCCTAAATGGATATAATTTCAGTCGAGAAACACCACATACACCCAATAGACACCCGTGCACCAATTTCACTCCTCCCAACACCTCTTTCTTGTGGTTCCATTTCCTAGGGAGGTACAATTGCTGTCTGCTTGTTTGACAGCATTTTCTGTAGTTGGTGGCAAAGACAATGGACGGAAGAGGGTAGCCTTTGGCTACCCCGGCTGCTTCCTACTTGCCTTAGCTCCCTCATCCTTTTAATCAGGTGAGATAAACCAATGGGTGTTTAAAAGTACACCATCAGCGAGGGGGGAACCTAACCTGAGCGACACTTGAGAAGTTTGTTTTGCTTAATCCATACCTTCCATTTCCGGAAGTTCATGAAGTTCAGAATAAGAAGGTACAGTTGTTTTATTAAACAGGAGTTTGGTGGCTGCTTGAAGGCCACCAAAACTTTATTCCAGCATAAACTTTCAGAGGGTAGAGCTTATGCCATTATGAAAGTGTGGTTTCTTGTTAAAGTGCTGCAGGACTCCTCTTTGTATTTCTGCCCTGGACTGATGACACGGCTACCTCTCTGAAATTATGTGGCTTTTTAAGACTGATTCTGATAAGAGAAAAAGTAATATTTCCAAGGCTATACCTATTTAACTGGCACAGAAAACAAACAAACAAACATGAGCTCAGGATGGCTACTTGTTCCCCTATAGCTATTGTAATATTGTATATTCTGAGGTATGCTTTTGAACAATTCAATGTTTTTATGAAGTTTAACTGAATATCCAAAAGCAGTTTTTTCCCTAACTGGCAAAAACTAAGATATACTTAGGCATGTTGCTGGGCTGCATCCTGCAGTTCCATTCTAACACTTGGGATAGTTGTAATTATTGTTTCAAAAGAAAGGAGCAAGTATGCCAAAAGGCACAACTGCGTGTGTTAAATTATACAGAATACATTTCAACATTCTTCATAATAATCAAACAAACATAGGGATTTAAGAAAGTAAATACTGTCTATTTTTGCCAACTGAACACCACGGAAACAGTTGAACACACATTATTTCACTGTTCATTTTATACGGCTATTAGTTCACTGTGTATTACCCCCTATTTGATCTCAGTTTCCAGGGACATTTGGTTTTCAGGTACAAAGGCCAATGTAGAAGTTGCTGCTGGTGCTTACAGCCCATTCAGGGGGACAAATTATGGGTCGCAGTCAGTAACAATGAACCATGCGCTCTTGGGCTTCACGTGTTAACTTTTAAAGCTGTACACTTATATGTAATGTGCATCTCCAGCACTGCTTGCAGCTCTCTGGGCCCTGCCCCTGCAGAATGCTAGCCAACTTTTTTAACCAGCCGCAGCAGCTGTGCCATAACATGCAGGAAGTAACAGGTGCTGCTTTTCTGCAGCATATACCTCCTCACCTCTCTTATCACTCGCTCAGATTGCACAATGCCCCTCCTTAAATCCTCACACTACCTTCCTGTCCAGCCGTGACATCAATTTAGACGACAGCAGAACTGCCTCACACACACACACCCGCCTTCATAAGAACCTCTCCTAAATACTGAATCGCAGCTCAGAGTTTCTTTTACAAGATTAGACAGCAAAGCAGGAGATGACAAAAAGTTTACAAAGAATTTCTTTTTCTCCATACGAAGTCTCCAACTTTTCATACCGGATGAACTATCCAGCAGCCTGTGTTCCCTGGAAAGCAACTTTCCAAAGAATATTAAGACACTTACCCTTCTTCAGTCGTATTAATAATATCGCAGATGTGCATAAACTGTCCCCACTCTTCCGTCTGCAGTGCTCCAAAAGTGGCTTTTTCTGCAGAGGGGGGAAAAAAGGGTTCTTTCACATAAAAAGTCACAACAAAATGCAGGCATAGGCCACTAACAGAGGAATATGTGAAATGCCTTTGTATTCCTTTCAAATTACTCAGGAGAGGAGTTTTGATTTAAGGCAATCTGGCTTCAAAATTGACTGAAACCTCTGGGAAATCTTCTTCCCTGGAAACAAAGGCGTGGATGAGCATCCGGCAGGCATGGTTTAAGCCTAGGAAATCCAACTGACAGCGGGTTAGTTGAAGTGGCGTCTCGCCGTTAGGGTTCTGTGACATGCCAAAACAGGTTACAGGATGCACACAGGCATGGAAGCTTTGGAAAGGGGCCACCAAACACCAGCAAGTGAACATTTGAGAGAGCTGCCTCAGAAAGTCAGTCTCACTTTACTCATTGGAGCTTACTCCCAGGAAAGTGATGAAGATGGGAAGCCGTGTTAGTCTGTCTGTCGCAGTAGAAAAGAGCAAGAGCCCAGTAGAACCTAAAGACTAACAGAATTTGTGGTAGGATATGAGCTTTTGAGAGTCACTGCTCTGAAGAAGGGAGCAGTGACTCACAGATGCTCATACCCTGCCACAATTTTTGTTAGTCTTTAAGGTGCAACTGGACTCTTACTCTTTTCTACCATCCCAGGAAAGTGTTTCTGGAATTAGGATGACCAGAGGCAAAGTAGTGCCGAGCTTACTGTTGGCCTAGGACCAGAGAGTTCCGAATTCAGATCCTCAGTCATGAATCTCACTGGCTGTCCCACAGCCATTCTATTAAACTGGAAGTAAATAAATAAATAACCAATCCCACACTGCTGTTGTGAAGATTAAATGGATATGGAAAAATCCATATAAATTGCCCTAAACTGTTCAGAGGATGGGCAGGATCCAAATTTTGACAGACTATTACTTGAGCACATTTAAGTGGGAGGAGCTTGTCATTGAGGACTAGAAGCCATGGTAGTCTACATGTTAGCATGTCAAACTAGGGTCTGGGAGACCCAAGATCAAATCCCCACTCTGCCATAGAACCTTGCTGGGTGACCTTGGGCTAGTCACACATTTTCAGCCTAACCTACTTCACAGGTTTATTGTGAGGATAAAATAAAAGTGAGGGGAACGATACAAGCTGATATGGGTCCCCATTGCAGAGAAAGGTGAGGTATAAATGAAGAAAATAGATCAATAAAAGCTAGAAAGCAACTCTGAAAGGCAATGAAACTTGCCTCAGGCAATTCATTAGTAAGAGATTTAGGCAGGTCTTGCTTATGGACAAGGCCAGAAAATAATAAGAGTTCTTCTTCACAAGAGTTCCTTTTTATCATACATTTAAAATATCTATCTATTAATCACCTTTCTTCCTTACAGAGCTCAAAGTGGCTTACAATGTTAATAAAATACATTTTAAAAAGCCAAATTTTAAAATATTTTATTTACTAATTAAGGTGGTTAACAAGGGGCAAAAGGATCCTGTTGAATACATGAGAAGTGGGGATTCTAACAAACTTTAATTATTGTGAATACACAAGCCTCAGTGAGACGCAACATGATCTAGCGGTTAGCATGTCAGACTGGCAAATCAGGGTCCAAATCCCATCTCAGCCAGCAACCCCTCAAGATGATTTTGGGCCACTTGCTCTCAGTCTCTCACCTCAACTATCTCCACAGGCTTTAAAAATGCAGAATAAAACAGAGAACTGTGTCCTCTACCCTGAATTGATTGAAGGAAGAATAGATTTTAAAAAATTAATTAAGAGAGACGGTTAAATGGATAGTGGAAGTTATTCCTAATCAATTAGTGAAAAGGTCCAAGGAGGAAGTTGTTAAATGGTCACCAATTGACAGACAGTTATTGATCTCTGAACTATAATCCAAGTGGCAGGACCCTGTTCTGTGGGTTCGTTTCCTATGGCAGGCAATCCGGAGTGCCAAAAAGAACCAGCAATACTCTCTGCTCTCCATCAGTCACGCTGAGGGATCGGGACAGCACACTCAGAGCATCCTGATCCCTGGAACCGCACAGATCAGAAATGCTGAAATTGCATTCCCCATTCTGTCTTTCCATATCCCATGCAGAAGTGCCAAGCACAGCAGCCTTCGGATCCTGAACTGCTGGCTGGCGTTCTTTGCTGACACTCAATGCCCTTGCTTGCTAGTGATAAAGGTTTTCCTTTTTCTTCCTTCTGGCAAGGCACCTATACTTTGCCTGTAAGAAGTTTAGCATGTGCCTTACAGTAGCGGGGAAAGCTACTTCCAATGAAATATTTCCCCATCACGCTACTGTTAAAAGCACAGGAATCCTGCCAGGCAGTAAAACCACCAAGGTTGGCCCAGCAATGGTAAACAACAACACAGAGCCATGGCAGAGTTGGCTGGGGACTAACCCTCATCCCTGAAGAGACCAACAACAGTAGCAGCTGGGTTGCTACTACCTAGAGTGCCTTGACAACATCAGGAGCAGGCTAGCCGTCTTCAGAAACCAATGCAGTTACAGCCAGGCCCAGGAAGACCTGGGTTCAAATCCCCACAGCAACTACTTTGGGGACCTGTTGGGACAGTCCGTCTGTCTCTCAGCCCAACTCAGAGGGTTGTTTTGAGGGTAAAAGAGTGGAGAAAAGAACCAGGGGTGCTACCCAATATCCTCGAGGAAGGCCGGGACAGCAACAACAAAAATAGATCTAATAAAAGAAATACAATTAATAAATAAGGAAACAGCTGTCTTCCTGGAAAACTGGAGTCTTACCCCTAGGAGAAATTAGGGTTTTTTTTTCTTTCTTTCTTCATTCTAAGACGATCATTTCAAAGTTTCCCGATCGGAGAAGTTCAGGGCAATCCTGCTATGCTGAAAGGGGAAGCGAGGGGATGCCAGGCGGCACCGGCGCTTACCTATCAGGTGACCCACGGGGGTGCCGAAGGGATCCTTCTGGCTCTTCCCAAAAGCCATGCCGGGTTACCAGAAACGTCCTCCGAAAGCCGTCTCCACTGCTAGCCGGCGACTAGCCACAGCAGCAGCCTTCTCGGGTCCAGAGTCCCAGCGCCCAGCGGCAGCCGCGGCGATAACTGAGCTCCCCGCCCGCCCTGCTCGGGAGAGGAGGAGCCCCGCCGCCTCCAGGTACTCGCCCCGCGAAGCGGCCCACTGGCCCCGCGTGGCGGATCACGTGCTGCCGCGCCGGGCTCTTAACAGCCGTGCCCGGGTGTTTTCCGCTCCTGCGGAGTGGGGCGCGTTACCGCAGACAAAAGCAGCTCCGGCCGCTGCTGGTCTCTCCGCCCGCGGAGACCCTGGAAGGGAAGGCGGCAGAGCCCACTGCCCCGCCCTGTCAACCGCCTCGGCGACCCAGCTCGCCCAAGGTGCTGCTCGGAGGGAAGCCGAAGGGGGGGGGGGGGTTGGGGGGAATTGGGGCGGCGAACCGCTTTTTCGCCCAGCTAGGGAGGGACTTCCTTTCTCCTTTCAAAAGCGCGGGGTTAATAAGGAAGGGAAGGGAAAGAAAGGGGGGCGAGACATCGAGCCGTTGTTCCCAACACCACCCGATCATGTTCTGTATGGGAAAACAGTGAATTTAGCGGCGTTGACTTCCTGGTGAATAATTGCGCTTCGGGTTGCTCTCAAGTTTCACAGGCGTTTCCCAAGTTTGCTCTGGTGTCGTGAATAGATCCTGCCCGGTCATCTGAAGCACATGTGGGTTGTTTTTTTGGGGGGGAGGGGGGGATCATTAACAACTTTGCATTTATAATTCCAGGGTAACAGTCGTGTTACTCTGTTGCACCAAAAATAAAGAGGAATATTGGGATATTTTAAAGACCAACAAGCATTTATTTTATTTTATTTATTATCGAGATTTATACCCCGCCCTTCCGGCCATGACCTGTTGTGGACTCTAGTCCTGTGTGTTTTAGCATTTATATAATGGCTTTTTCACGGGTATGTCACAGTATTTTAACCATTGTTCAAACAGCACACACAGGCCTTTGAGATGTGTGAATGGTCAAAATCTAGTACCGAATACAGAAATTATTTTGTTGTGAGGATAAAATGGAGAAAAAGAGAACAATCAATGTAAGCTGTTTGGGGAGAAGCTGTTGGGAAGAAGGGTGAGATATAAGTCAATAAATAATTTTTTAGCTTTAAAAAATCAAATCCTAGCTCCCATGGCTGTGAACATGTTGTGTGAGGCTGCTGTCTCAGTAGCTCCTACAATTGAAGTGGTGCAACTGATGGGAGTTAGGAACTTGAATTATTGACCCAAAAATGGTATTTAAATTTGTGGGTGCTTTTAGTCAAACAAGTGCAGTGGTACCTTAAAGACTCACAATTTTTTATTTCAGCCTAACTTTTTTGTGAGCTGGAACTCACTTCATCAAATACATGGAGTGTACATCCATAGCCAACAGATACAAGCAACAGAAAGATAGAAGCAGACAAATTTTAGAAACAGCAATTCAAGAGAATCCCATCTATTCAGAATGGGTGAGGACTACCCCTTAGTGTAATAGAGGGACCACCATTCCATTGTTTGTAACTGCAAGTGTTAGTATCTCTCATGTACATGCCATGCGTCAGATGAAGTGAGCTGTAATTCGTCAAAAGTTATGCTGGAATAATTTCAAAGCCGGACTGGTTCCTGGAAATCTGCAGCCCAAACCGGTCTAATACATTGTCAGTGACCTGCAGCGCATCCCAGATTGGAATATTTCTCCTTTTTAGGTCTTGAGTGGCACACCTTTCCTTCCATACAGATAATCTTTCAAGTTATAGGAGCAAAATGGGGGAGGGGGAGGGAAGAATCAGCATCACACAATGACATCACTAAGTCTTCCAGCAAAAACTGGAAGTGATGGCATCACATTGATACAACGGCATCACTTCTGGTTTGTGCTGAAAGTGACATCATGGCTTTGGCACGATGCTTGTCGCATAGGTACTCCCCCCCCCCATTCCTTCCAGGTGTTAGCTTGAGGCTGGCAACCCTGCATGTCAACCTATAACAGCCTCTCACCAAGAACAATGGACCGCCCAACATAAGCACAAACCTAAGGGAGCATACTGTCCAACAAATCACTAACTTTGCTTCCTATATAGACTCAGACAATACTATCACAGGACTCAGTGACATCAGCTGTACCGCCTGAGACTCATCCACTTGCTCATCCTCTAATTTAATACGTGCCATCATGTGTCAACAATGCCCTTCTGCTCTCTATGCTGGACAAAGAAGGTAGTTCCTAGAAGAAACGGAGACAAGTCTGACATTAAAAATCACAATATCTAAAAAGCAGTGCAGGAAATGTTAATCTTCCAGGACATAGTGTTCATGATTTAAAGGTTACTGTTTTATCACAGAAGAATTTCAATGGAGAATCCAATGCAAAAGTGCGGAATTAGGTTTCATTAAGAGATTTAACACTCTCCCTGAGGCTTGAATAACGACTTGGGTTTCCTCATTCACCATAATGCTAATAGCCCACCCTTTATGGACATTCATTAATTTTGCTTATCATGTCTCACAAGGCTCCTCCCTTGATTAGATATTTCATGTTCCTCATATCTTCCTAGCTACTTACCATTGGAAGTGGTTCTTATTCTAACGTTTATAATGTATTTCCTATGGATGTATACGCCATTCTTCGGATGAAGTGAGCCCTGACTCACAAAACCTTATTTATTAGATGTTTATACCCTTCTTTTCTTTCCAATGGGGACCCAAAGCAGTTTACAACACCATTCTGCCCTGCTATTTTATTTTCACAACAACCCTGTGATGTAGGTGAACCTGCAAGAGAATACGACTGGCCCAAGTTCTCCCAGTGAGCTTCCATTGCAGAGGGAGGGTTTAAACCCAGGTCTTCCAGACAGATCATAGTCTAGTCCTCTAACCACTATCCCACACTGGCTTGCATGTTGGAATAAGTTTTGTTTGTCTTTAAGGTGTCATGGGATTTCTGTGTGATTTTTCTGCACAAGACTAATACAGCTACCCCTCTGCTTTTTTTGATGTTTCTTCAATGGGAGCTAACTTTCAGGAGGTGTCTTGCTCAAGGACCCCTCTGAATATGGCAAAGGTGACCCCGCTCTGCTGAGGGGGGGGGGATTGAGGATATATGGGAAAACTTCCCCATAAGCAGAATTCCTAGCCTGATCTGCCCTTCACGTATTTGAAGAAATGAACAGCCTGTGACTCACAAAAGCTAGTACTGAAATATATGTTGTTAGTCTTTAAGGTGACACCAGACTTCTGGTTTATGTGGAAAAACTGACAGAGTTTGGAACAGGGCGAGAGTGAACACATGCAGAGAGATCGCAAGTAGCCATGTTCTCTATAGAAACACTCCCAAAACAACAATCGCGTAATACCCTAGGACCAATGAAAGTATTACAGAATAGTGAGCACGTTTTTGAGTTCCATGTAGACCCCCCCCCCCCGCTACATCTTCAGTACATAAAAAGGGGAGAAAGATGTTTCAGGGTATGAAAGAGAAACCCCTGGACAGTACAGGGTGTATTACAGACTTAATTAGATGAAAGACTGCTGGGTACAAAAACACCATAAGCCACCAGTGCTCTCTTCCAGGACGCCTTGCCCCTGGAACGTGTCACTGCTCAGACAAGTGAAGAAACACATAACAGTGTGCTTGAACTGGTGTAAACAGTGCCTTTTGGCAACTGATAAACCATGAGAATGGCTAAATAAGTTTTCAAAGGGTGGGCCTTGCACAGTTACTTCCCCCTCCCCTGAACAAAGAAAACCTGAGTACATTCAGCAAAAATGGCAGGGGAAAGAATGCAAAATAGGACAAAATGGGATGATTGGTACATGTTGCAGAATTTAGCTTTTAGTGGTACAGAATTTGGATTCCCCAGGTGCAAGATTAAAAAAAGAAACAGCAAAGAAAACTCAGTGCTGTTCTTTGTAGTGACTTAACAGGATGGATCTATGCCACTTTCACCTCAAAGGCTGGTAACAGTGGTGATCATTCCCATGATCGTCTGTGAGTTCATGGCAGACATACACTGAATGTATCTGATATGTTTGCATTTTTCTATGGCAGGGATTCTAACTTCAAGGAAAATGCATCTTGCAGACATTCCACAATGCAGCTGGCCATTTTATATGACCATTTTGATGAGGTGAATAATGTGGTTAGGCCACTATGAACTGCCATTTATTGACAAGTGGATATTTTCTTGGAAAACCAGGCTATATATGTTTTAAATTTTGAATAAATAAGATCTACCATTGGATAAATTAAAGGTGGAAGCTGCAAAATAAAATGTGTTTTAAACAGCTGTAACAACTAAAGTGTGCTATCAACACAGAAAAGTCACTTTTTATAAAACAAAAAGATGTGTGTCTTTAACAATCATACTTAGGCCATAGATCCATTTACATTGCAATGCTAAACAAAGTTACACATGTCTAAGACCACTGACATGGTTAGTGTGCTAGAATAGGTCTGGGGAGACCCAGATTCAGATCTCCACTGTGCTACTGAGTTCAGTAGACCTTGGGCCAGTCACTCTCTCAAACTATCTCATAGGAGCACTCGCTGTAAGGACAGGTTGGAGGAGGGGAGAACCACATGTGTGCTCCTTGGAGGAAGAGAGTGATAAAATACAGCAGTGCATAGATATGACAGCTAGAGCAGGTGTAGGTCTGGTTTGTTAAACCACCAGAGGAAACATAATTCAGATTAATCCAGTTTAGGGATGGGCACAAACCAGGAAAATCTGGTTCATTTCAGTTCATGGTTAGTGTAATGTGTTCAGTTTGTGAGCCACAAATTGTCATGCACTTTTAGGCACCAAATGAACCGGTTTAGTTCATGAGATTCATAATGCAGTAGAATGCCGCCCTGTTGTGCTAGAGAGACCAAACTCACTAGGGGCCATTGGCTGACTCTACTCTACCTGCCCTCCAAGTTTGGTGAGGATTGGATTTACAGGGACTGAGTAACTGCATCCCAAAGAAGGTACCCCCAGGAAAGTGCTTTCTGGAGAAATGACAGGCACTGGTTCAGGAGTGTACAGAATGGACCCTGTGCAAACTAGAGGCATCAAACTCACTGGGGACCTCCCCTGATGCTTCTCTACATGCCCTCCAAGTTAGGTGT